CGTTGGCCAATCACAGTGCGCGAAATCTGTCGACCCTTTCCAAACGCGCATCGGGTTGACAGATTTCGCACATTTTGATTGGCCAGCGCGTTGCAAAGTCTTAGAGGTGCACTATTGTTAATCGCCCGTATTACAATTTACGTGGGGAGGGGCATGTTGAAGAATTTGGACCCTTAGAACTGCACCTTTAACGGTTCGGAGACATAGCCCCTCTCACCTCCCAATCGCCGGGGTCCTCGCGCATCGCGCATCGGGTTGACAGATTTCGCACATTTTGATTGGCCAGCGCGTTGCAAAGTCTTAGAGGTGCACTATTGTTGATCGCCAGTATTACAATATACGTGGGGAGGGGCATGTTGAAGAATTTGGACCCTTAGAACTGCACCTTTAACGGTTCGGAGACATAGCCCCTCTCATCTCCCAATCGCCGGGGTCCTGTCTCCGTGCTCAGCTCTGTCCTTTGTCAGGTGTCGTCCCGGGTGACACTGACATATCAGCGAGGCCCCAAACTTAATGACGAATCTGGGTCCTACAATTAACAACTAGCCCATGCTGCCACGGGGCTTTATCCAGAACAAAGACGTATGATAAAATGACGGCAACAGCATGGCGCGCCACTTGGCTAACTGGAGAGTGTGTGTCAACACCTTTTGGAGAAAAGGTCATTTGTCTTCTTTCTGCCAAGTCGGGAGGGAAGGGCGACTCCCCCAGATCCAGCCGGATGCGGCTCTCCAATAAAGCGGAGTGTGGCCAATATCCGCGGGAGTAGAGGGGGCAACTTGCCGCACAACGAAAAATTTTGCAGATTTTTTTATTTTTTTATTTTTTTTTTACATAGAATCGGTTAGTAGGAAAGAAAGTGTTTGGTATAATTATTTATCAAATATTAGCACCAAACCCTCAGAAAACATCAGCAAATAAAAGCAGGGATATTGATACCGTGAGTAAGGCTTTGGTTTTTTTTTTCTCCACATCATGTTGAATGAGCCCAAGGCGCGTTCGCTTTTGGATTCCCCCCCCACACACACACATACACCCACACCAGAAGCTGGATGCGCCGCTGCCTGCGGCTGAAGTCGTTGACCTGCCGGAGGACGAGATCACAGATCTGAGGAGGAAAAATGAAGGTCTATGAGATGCAGATCTTGGCAGCGCGCGGTGGCAAAGTTTGTTCAAATTAAAGAAAGCTAAATACGCGGTGCGAACTTATACGACGGACGTGTGTAGTGAACTTTTTCGGACGGAGGTCGAGTTGAGGCTAAATTTTTCACAAGCGAACGATTTTTTAATTGTACGCCGCACAAAAAAACGACTACCGGTCATCGGCCTTACCCGCCCAGAAAATCTCCTCTGCAGTGGTAAAGTTGATTGTGTCTCAGAAAACATTGGCAGTGCCACACCGGCATCATAATCATCCGCTGAATAAGGATTATGTATACAGATTACGACAAGCACAAGCAACATCTGGGGGTATAATACCTCCAGTAAGGCGAATCAGGCCTATTGTTCAACACACCTGCAGGGCAACTTCAGTCAACTTTTGTAAATAAAAATGGGACAACTGTAGGAGTTTCTCATAACCAGACCTCTTTGCCTGAAACTGAATTACATGAGGCAGGTGTACTGAAATGTAAGTCTGCAGAGGCTCCGAGTCCGGCCCGAACTTTGCCCTTGTTTCCTCGAGGGATACCTCCACTTGGATGTGTGTGCAGGCGTAAAAATCTAAAATCGTGGTACAATGTTACATCGGCAGAAGTTTGTAGGGAAACTCAGAAATACATTCTCAATGGCTGTGCAATGTACATATTATGATGTGTGCATTCTCTTCTTATGAAATAGACAGCCTCGTGGTGACAAACGCTGGATCAATATTTGCAACACAGACAGGATGCAAATAAGGCTTCCTGGTGTAATACGATGAACAAGGACGTGCCTCCTTCGTGCTATTTTAGTTGCCGTCAAATTGTACATAACGTAAAAGTGACGTAATTTTCGTGCACACAGGTTGGTTACCCTTCCCCGTTGCCTAAATGACTTAGGTCCAGTTAGGTTACATTACAACAGTGTTACAGTCTTACAACATAGGCCTTCAGCAACATTCATTAATCGAGTATTCATGATCTAGTAATATTTTTTCCTCTGAAAACTTCTTTCGAGAATTTTAAAAGGTCACTTGAAAAGTTATGATTTACACCAGAAGCACTCTAACGGCATAAGACGGGAAACGTAATTAAGTGAAGAGCGTAGGTGCGGAGTATACACACTTCAGGCTACAACCGTCGGATTTTCTTTCTTTTCTCTTTTTTCAAAGGCAAGTAAAATCCGTCAACTCAACATAAGAAGCCTCCACGAGTTGTGAAGACTTGTCTCCTCTCGAGACTGACAATGAAACTGTTCGCCCATATAAAGAAAAGCACATGGAGTATCATATAAGACAAATGGGTAAAACAAATGAACTGGCCTGCCGATGATGGTACTTAGTAGCCGATAGATGGCGCTATGTCGATTCTATGTTGATGTTGCAACGTGGACTCGCCGGATTTCATTCAGGGCGAGGAAACGGACCAGTCTTTGAACTGCACCTAGCTCGACGCGTCAGAGACGCGAAAGGCACAACTTATTGGCAGGGCTTTTCCTCCATGCCGCCTACAACACGAAGCATGCACACTACAGTTGCTGCTGGATCTTTCTTTCGAATACTGGATCAGTTGATTTGATAAAAATCCAGGATCATTATTTGTGTGAGGGGGGCATAACCAAGTTGAAGTCGATTGCAGGCTAGGCCAAAGGCCTATCGTGAGTCATTGAATCTTTTGTGGAGTTATTTGATGATCATTCGGGGAAGACACAGTATTTTTGCTTTATCTTTATGGTTTGGCATGAAATGGTAGATTATTTGACCATTTCTGGTCCGACTAGCGGTCGCTCCTCATTTGCTTATGCTTATTTCAGTTGAAAATGTAGCGAAAAGATTCCACAAAAAGTCATAAGGTTTATGCGCATGGCAGTTGAGGCGAAGGTTTAGGCAAGGAAAATTCACACCCCCATTTTTGACAACACTCACGGGGTAGAATTAGAGTTAAAAAGATTACAACATGTTTGTGTAGAAACCGAACGCCATTCCTTAAAAATCGAACCAGCTTCCAGATCGGATGTTGTTTAAAACAGGCGTATTTTAAAACATCGAAAGAATATCCCAAAATCGAAAAGAAATTTACAGGCGTAATATATTTTGAGATTCGAAAATTTTGTTGCAGACCTAACATATTTTAAATAGTCGAATGAAATTTTCCAGACCCGACATGTTTTTGAGATTCGAATAAATGTTTACACTGCAGACAAAACATGTCTTTGAAATGCAACTGCAACGTCCCCAGATTTCATCCCCAATTGCACTTCTTCTGAGTGAAGAAAGCATTCGAATATAGAAAACATCCGAGTTTAGAAAGCGTCCGATTTAAGAAAGCGTCTGACTGTAGAAGCATCCGATTCTTTCGACTCTGTTCGGCTCGATAAAAGCCGACGGTCCGAACCGTTTCCGGCCGTTGGGCATGCGCATGCATGCATCCCGTTTGGGATGAACGAATAAGGTGTAGTGATAATATTTTCAGCAATGATTCCTCAAAACGAAAAATATACGAAAGATAACCGCCGTTGGTTGCCGTGGATGCTCTGCGCATCGTTAGCTGTGACCCCGCACGACGTATTTCTTTTAGTCAAATCTGTGCCACGGATCTCTATACACTTGATAGGCAGCTCTGCTCTGCGAATTGAAGCGACTGCTCGGCCATCTTAGGCTATTCAATGGCATTTTCCAAGTCACCGGCTTCAGCGCCGAGATAGTCTTGGTTTCAAGACGTTAGTGCTTCATAGCGGACACCGTGCATAGTGCGCCCCCTAACGACTTATAATTAGACTGCGCGAACTAATTGTGCGAGGGCGCTCTTCATCATAAATAAACAAGTATTCGCGCATGCGCAATAGTAACAAACGTCATCGGTCTGAAAACTGATATTCTACCAGACGACGCATATCGGTGAGGGATTTGTCTTGCCATTTCCCTTGAAGACCTGGTATGTTAATAAATTGTCAAGAATCTATCAAATGGTGATATTTAATAGCTTCTGATAAGAAAGATCTCCGGAAACTAATCAAAGAAGAGGAAAATGTCAATTTTTCGACAAAGGATAGTTATGAAAAATTATCGCTTTTTTTTTAGCTAACCGTGTCTAATTTTTACAATTTTGCTGGGTTTACCTTCAAATAACTTTGATGCCACATGAAAGACTAGTAACTCTTATGATAAAAAGTTTATTATTTCTAGGCAGAAAGCTCTTTTTTTTTTTTTAATTCACTTCGTTTTTATTGGGACCCATTTTTGTCATTTTCTGTGTTTTTCACCTTGCTTATTAAGTGCCTAATTTTCACACCTTTGTCGAATTCCCATCAGGTCATCGGTGATTGTGTCTGGAAGACTGATGAATCGTTTGTATCTATCAGTTCATTTCTTCAAGATCGAGAGCCATTTGTCTGAAATGCAGTTCGTTTTTTTCACACGAGTGTACACGAGTGCGTTTCGGTACAAGTTGACTTCTACTGCATTGCACTATTACGTACAACGACGTCAAATTGCCCGACTAAAAGGCCCAAACAAAAACTGTCCGTTCTCGTCCACACGGTTTCCTTCTTGCACGATACTTTCTCGTTTGAGCGTTCTTGATATTTCTTACTTTATTCCTCACTTCCTTATTCCTCACAAGTAGTGAAATGTCAGGGAAAACTCAGCAAAACTGAAAAAAAATCCCTCTAAAACGTTGGCTAAGCCGGGCCTCGGCCTCCTCCCGAAAACAAGCCAAAATAAGCAGAAAATGCAAGAATATCATTTCCGGAAATAACTGACCGTTTTCTTATTAACTATCAAAATCTATAACGTCACCCTGTTTTTGTGTGTGTTTGTTTTTCATTCATTTTTTAACACCTATTGTCTACGGTCTCGCTTTAACAATATTCTCACTTTGGGTCGGTTCAATCCTGATTTGTTCAGTGTGTAAAACTTTGAGAATTCCACCAGGACATGCAACCGGTGATGTCAGTAAATACGATGTCCAAACTGTCCATGTGGTTTTCCGTCTGGTTTCGATGAGCCAACACTGAAAAAAAAAATCATCAATAAAATGATTTTAATTTTACACACTAAGTGTACTTAATAAAATTCATTCATATATTGAGTACATTTTATTGAAAACCGACATGCGGCATACGGAAGTGTGAGAATCTTTTCTGTGAGCACAAAGTAAGCGCAGCTTTAAATGAGCGACCAAACATACTTACTGCCGTTTTTAAAACAGACACTTATAAATCAGCTTAAAATTTTGAGTTCACAACCTGACTTAACCCGATTTACATTTAGCAACTACTTTCCGGCATAAAAATTCAGTTTTAACAGAGAACGAATAATTTTGTTATGTGGACAAAGTTTCTTTCATATTGAGTTGAAGGCTTTGAATCCCCTTGATTGTAACTTCATTCAACAGAAACGCCAGCACTCTGCTTCTCACTTTGGTTTCATCTCTGCCCTGAAGAAGAATTCTGTCACTCATATCACATCGTCTGTCACACGATTTGGGTTCAGTGCACCACAAAACATGGCTGTCCTGGAGATTTTTTCCCCGTGAAATTTGCGAAAAATAAAAGACAAATTAGTCATTCAGTGTCTAAACTACTTTTTCCAATAAGTAACATTTCAGGCCTACAAAGCCTGATAGGCTACATAAATTGTCATAAATTTCTTACTAGGCCTATATGGGTTGGCGCGGACATCCGGGAGTTTCACAAAAAATACGGGTTGCAACCACACTGAGCCTGTGAAAACAACTGCAACAAGCGCGCGTACGTTCTGATCAAAGAAAAGATTGTATAACCCGACCCTCGGACTGGCTGGTACGTGCGTACGTCGCTAAGATCGCTGTTTTCACCGGCGCAGTACCTGTCATTTTGCGAGAATCCCGGTTGTCCGCGCTGCCCCCCATAGGCCTAAAGCTAAGTATTATAAAGTACAACTTTCTGAAACTAAAAGAAATGCGACTCACATTTCCTTCTGTTCCTTCTTCCAAACTTGACGTTGATCTCCAGTAACACGTCAACCATTATTCTTTCTAAATTTATCCATTTCAACTGCAGAATTAATTTTTTCTTCAAAATCTGGCGATTGAAGAACAAAAACCTCATCCGGTTTTTGAAAAACTCCATATGAAAGTACACGTAACGAAATTGGCAACGCTTGCTATTTACCCTCCTGAAAATACGCACACGCGGGACGCGTTTTGGACGCGATGTCCTGTCCAGTCTATATAATGGAGATCAATGGATCTGTGCAAGGCAACCTCGTTCGCATGGATACGATCTTGCCGCGCCATGTTGGTTCCCACCATGCCTTTCGTGATTAAACGTTTAAATAGACCGTATTCGCGGCGTCCCCAATTTCAGTCGTATTCCCCAACGTAGTGTATTTATTTGAAAACGTTAAATTCAAAGAACCCAACTATATTCTACGATTTCATTCCGACCCCCCAAATCACCTGGTACCATCCCATTAAGGGTTTCAAAATTATACTGTACGTTCAGGAATACGACTGAAATTAGGGACGCCGCGAATACGGTCTATTTAAAACTCCACGCAGATTTACGCGTGCGTGACGAGCAAGAGAATACGTAGGCGTAAGCGTGCAGCTTTTGAAATATGCGTGTGATTCCCTTTATGTAAATTCACCTTGATTAGCCAATCAGCGTCGTTTTCGTATTCTAGTTCTACACGACCAGGCTAGTAAAGGAACACGCACACAACCATGGAGTTGAGGTTGTGGGCAAGGCCATCCTCCCCTTCCCACTATGTCCACCCCTTTCATTTAGTTTGTGTGCATGCGCTAAAATTCGGCAAAGTCGTGGTCATTTCTGTTGCCTGTTAAAACGGCGACGCCAGCCAGGAAACAACTATACCAAAAACCATCTGCGAAGATCTTCTGTATTGTGTAAAAGTTTGCTAAATTTATACCAGAGGAATATAATCAGACTTTAGATTTCATTTTGTGATGTGTTTCTTGGTAATCATAAATGACATTTGGGAGGAAATAAAAAATGTTTGTTTACGTTACATTTTCGAACGTAAAAAAGGGTATTTTAAACTCGAAAATTTGAATTGTTCTCCAGTTTTTGCATACATGCTGTCTATCTTTATAATGGAACGAGTGTTTGAAAAAGGTAACCATGTTATTTTTAAGCTATTGCGAATTGTCCTTTGTTAGTTTGATAAATTTAAACTTTGGCTCTCTGTCAACTGGTCGGCCACGATTTATGTGTGACCGTGTGCACGTTCATATACATGTACTTAATACATGTACTGTACATGTACTCCACCAACGCACATAAATGTATACATGCACTACTACGGACAAATGATTCTCGTGCAAAATATCCAATTCGCAATAACTTGAAAATACTACCGACGCTTTTATCGGGCCTTGATACACACGGCACTTTATTTTGTTTGTTTGGATAAATTGGAGAAGTTGTATAAAACTTGGAAAGACCGTGGAAGTATTTTTTTCAAATCTGAGCGTGTTTATGTTTTTAATCACTTTTTAAAAATTGTTTCAAATTTTGTGCAACTGGGTTCATTATAATACCATGGCTACATATTGTCTGATCAATCTTTAGTTATTTGGTTATCTCAGTGAACTTCATTTGTTTGTACATTTTGACTGTGTCGGAACGGTGTCCGACGCCTGCGCAGTAAAGTGACCGAGCACGCATGCGCTAACTCTCGACTAAGTGGTGCACAAGGGCATGAGAGTGTACGTGCCTAGGGGTGCACTGAACCAATTCAAGCTCCATTGAAAATAGTGTAAAATCAACCAAGTTTGGAGCCCCAATGGCAGGCAAAGTCCCTGAGGCTTCTCAAACAAAAAACAAAGTGTTGTTTGGTCCTTCAGATTTCATTTGTTTTTCTTTTTTTCAGTAGGTTAACTGATGAATTTTTCAATTATCCACCCAAAACAAACTCACCCCGCAAAGGGGCAATGTTCCCAAGTCTTCTCAGCGGCCATTTTTCAAATGACATCACTCACTTCCTCGGGCTCTTCTGACAAATTTTCAATCACATTTTTGTCTGCTTTGCCCCCAGATGGGTGCCCCTGAATCTACAGAGATGATCCCGGGCCATACTGGCACAATCCTACTATTTCTTGGCCCAAACAGACCCCTCTTTTCGAAAGAATCTCTGGTACTTTTTGTGCGTCTCCGCCTGGCGGAGAATTTTCCTTGAATTGGGACATTTCACCCCTAGCGCCCTTTTCGGGCGCTGGGCGACGAATTGCGGAAACTAGGCTAGTGTTTGAGACACACGTGCGCATGCACGACCAGAGACGGTTCGGACCGTCGCATCGGCTTTCATCGGGCCGAACAGGGGTCAAAAAGATCGGGTGCTTTCTGAAATCGGATGCCTTCTAAATTCAGATGCTTTCTTAAATCAGACCGTTTTCTAAATTCGGATGCTTTCTAAACTCAGACGTTTTCTAAATTCGGATACTTTCTTAACTCGGATGAAATGCAATTTCGCATGAAATGCATGTAGTGAAATTGCACTCGCATTTCAAAAACGCGCGGTCTGTAAAAACTTATTCGAATCTCAAAAATATGTTCTATCAGTAAATTTTTTTTTTCGGTTTTGGTAAATGCATTCGATATTTTAAAATACAGTATGTCCTGTTTTAAACAACATCCGATCTGGAAATGAGTTCGATTTATAAGAAAAGGGCGTTCGGTTACTACACAAACATGTTCTAATCTTGTTCACACTAGCTCTATTCTCCTTAGTAAATACTCCGGATTTGTCTCAGCCATGAAGCTGAGAAAGGAGCCTTGGCGTCGGAGTGCAGCTGAATGGCAGTACCCCCCAAAAATCACTTAACGAGGCATCGAAAAGAAATTTGGTCATCTCTTTACGTCAATCATAATGGTCTCATAATTTACTCGACCAGTTTTGCACAAGAACGAGGAGTGACTTCACTTTGGTTGCAACTTGCAGTCCACACCCCAAGCATCGACTACGCCGGAAGCCAATCACGACTGTAGGCCATCGATCATAATATGCTATCAAATTGTTAAATCATTTTGATGTTCGTAGGAAAGGTAGGAATGACCAGATCAGCAGGACTGCCAGCTTGTGTTTCTGAGAAATTTGGACAACATGGACCCTTCCAAATGGCCAGGCTATATTTTGTAATGGAGTGGGATGATAGGCACCAACTATCAAAATGGCGATGGGTTTCAAGCATATAGCTTTAACGGTAATTATGTTTGGAATCTGTACAATTTATTTTCCATCGACAATTTAACAGATTAAGAAATGATGAAAGCAGTATAACGTCAGTTTTGATTTGACGTGTGTGTCTAACACCAGGGGAAGTTGCCTTTTTACTTTTTTATATTTCATACATAGGCCTATATATTTTCTTGAAATATTATCACTGTTTGTATCAGCTAAAAGGCCCCTTGCAGTTGGGACTCCGTATAATAGTCCCTTTAACATGGCAAGGAACCATTAAAAAAGATGAAGTGCAATCCCTCTATTTACGGGTCTACAACCTTCAAGTTCTGCTAAAAGGTGTGGCCACTAAAAGTGCCACCGTGTACATAGAAAATATACACCGACGTCTGAGTGTCAGGCACTCATGTAACCCCTGGTATGTAACTGGGCTTTGAGCCCATTTTACCCGTGTTTAGATTCCTGATTTCGCTTCTGCCAGCGTCCCACTCGTGTGCTTGTCAAAGCAATCACGTTGCAACCTGCCGTTATGTGTGCCTTCCCGCTGCTGCTGTTCTTAGTCCCCACAATGGTTAAGCCTTTTCTGTTGAATCACTCCCAGCCGCTTCTTTCGCCCTTATAAACAAACGTACTCTTTGAGTACCCTTTGTTACTATTTCCTGTAACACAAATTGCACACAACGTAACTTTTCAGCCCCTTTCAGGAGCAACCGAGTCAGAAAGAACGGTATCAGCCTCAGCAGGCTGCATTTTCATTCGTATCGTGACCTTCGTCATTGTTCATACCATGTTCGTACAGTTTGTACATTGTACATAAAGTACACGTAGATTTGAATGTACATGTACATGGTGCTACATGTATGTGTTAGGTCAGTGGCGTATGCCGTGAATTAATGAAGCGGTAAGTGAAAATGCAGCGCACTTTGTTATCGTGCGATTCGTGTAAAGCGAAGTCAACACTGCGTTGTGTATGCAAATGACGATACTTCACCTCGCGCAACAAAGGAATCACGTGACGTGCAATAAGCAATTCGTACAACACGAAAGTTGTTGGAAATTTTCACTGGGTACCCATGTGACAAAAATTCGGCTTCTCTTGATACACTGATGTAGGGCTGTAGGCCCTTGTATGTTATTTGTTGGTGTATTTTCACACGACCAAAGGGGCAACTTCCTCGTTTGTGAGACAATTAGACAATTTTTACCGACTGTATCGTCCCTGTGAGGGAAAAAAGTGGGTAAATTCATGTAAATTATAATACGGGGGAAAAGGCTAGAAGTGCCAGGAGTGACAATTTTGTTTCTCTTGCTCATCATCGTGAACTTCATGACAGCCTTTGATGTGTGTGTTTATACAAGGTCGGGGGAAGGGAGGGGCGACGGAGCGCGTCTGCTCAGCTCAGTCGAAGTAGAGAATTCTGATGATCGCTTTCCGCTGCGGTTCTGTTGGTGCCTTACATGGTAGGCCCTGAAGTTTATCCAGTGCTTGAAAACAAAGCAAAGGTAGAAGTATAAAATGCCAGGTCCAATTCATTTAAATTTTGCGAGCAGCGAGGTAAAGTCCCAACTGGTGGTGCCGCATGAACCTTCGCTCTTGTCAAAATTTGCCTCTTTTACAGCACATGGTCAAGGGCGGATACAGGTGAGGGGCAGAGGCCGTGTGACTCCCCACAAGGAGCACATTTTTTTTTTTACAGTGAAAGGCTTTTTTTGGTCCATTTCATTCCCCGTTCCTTTGAAAAACATGCAAGAAATACCCAAACGTAGTCCCAATCCTTCAGAAAGGCCAAAATACTAGAATTATTTGGCTTCCCCAAACAAATTGTTCTTCCCCGAAAATATCAGGATTCTCCCTTGCGCGTGGCAGGTTTTTGTGCAGAAGTTGTGTGCTATTAAAATGGTATGTGCAGCGCTATAGTGCAGCACATTGGCGTAGCTAGGATTTTACTGGGGGGGGGGCACAAATGGGGCACCAGTATCTAACGGGGCACCGGCTAAGTTTTTGTTAGCCTTGTTCAATATCCATTCATTTTTTTCAGAGGGGGGGGGGCGCCTGAGGGCAAGGGGAATGGGGGGGGGGCACGTGCCCCCAATCATACAGATGTAAAAAGTCACCTGCTTTCAAATCTCTTCCCCCACGCGTAGGCCTAAAGGGGGGTACTTCTGGAAGTATAGTCACCATCATGGGGCTCGTCGTTCCGCGCTTTGAAAGTAAGCCCCAAAATTCTGACCAACCTCAGATCTCAGTGTCACATGTCACGGTGCCACTCTAGGAAAAAGTGTGACATTCATGATACTGACCAATGGAAACAGCCTGTGTACGGACTGGTCACAATACCACCAGGAGCCGCCGCGCTTGACCATTTCCCGTACTTATCTCGTACCTGCCATGAGTGATCGGTGGAGCAGAAAACTGTACCTTCATCCGGGAATTTATTTAAAGGCCATCCGAGTCAACCCTTGTGCATACATATACGTGTACACGTCGCGTCTGCGAGCTTCGCCATAATATACTATTAATATTGGACACGAGTGTTTGGTGTGTGGGCTTCAATGGTATCGGTACAGTCGACGAGGCGCGAGTGAAGCGATTTTTTAACCCGAGAAAAAGGCATCAAAATTCCACAGAAGACGACTACCAGTTGCAAGGTAGGTAAGGAAGATCACATACATCAGAAAGATGTACTTTGATGGTTTCTTTGTCTCGCGATTGGGCAGTAAAATGGATTCTAGGACCGGTGTCGAGCCGCCAGTATCGGGGTTGTGACAACGGGCGTTAAGTCGCCCGCTTGCTGCGCACTATACGTAAACCATGGTACAATGGCGCCATAGCCGTACAGCTTTGTTCGACTACTGGCGCTACATACATGTACATGTACATGTACATCAAGAATCGACGTAGGCCTGCGTACTTGTACACGTGAATGGACTCAACATGCGGGGTCCCAGTTACTGTGTAGTGTGCTTTGCTCAGCGGCGGTGATTGAAAAGCCTGATAAACTGGTCACGTGTATACATGTACGATGTACATGTAGGGTTCATTTTCAGATCGGATCCGCAACACGAAGCCCGCCCAGGGATCATTTTCTGTACTATTCTACACCATGGCTTGTGTCTGTTGCAGTGCGGTAGCCATGCATGACCTCAGCGAAGGCTTGTGGAGTTAGGTGATATAAGTCAATGTACATGTCCATAGGGGCTTATTATAGTTCTACCTACAAATGATTTAAGCTCAGTTTAACTGTCCAGCATCGGCTTCATGTTCTCAGAGGTGCCACACTGCCATGCATGCAGTGTGTGCAGGTGATGGCTCTGTGATGGGGAAATAACTGGACATCGAAGAGCTAAATTTGCCATGCATGACAGCTGTATAGTGTTGAAGTTCAGGTTTTATTGGTACTGCTCTGTAAAGATTTTGCATGGTTTGGTGAGGAGTACCAGGCTGTACCCATGTAGGCCATGGTGAAGCTAATGGTACATGTAACAGTAAACTTAATGACAGTACTTACAGCTCAAAGGGGTTTTACAATATTTGAAGATTGAATCTGAGTGGACCATTACCAGTGTGAGGGTAGATACATGTGCATGGTAGTTAATTGATGGTAGCCCCCTCAAGGTACTGGATGGAAGTTGACATAGGCTAGTACTACCCATATTTCTCGAGGCAAAACCACCCCCAAAAACATGTTATTCTTGTTTTGCCATAGCTCATATATTTTTTGTTTCCTTTAACAGTTTCAGGCATGTTTTGAAACACTCAACAGGTACAACTACATGTATCTCCATCTTTTTATGTGTAGCACTGAGGGTGACGCTTGCACATGTACAGCGTATACTTCACTTTGGCAGCAGTTCCACGTATGCTAACACATTTGATTCGTGCATGGATTCCAATGTGCGTGCTTAGTAAACAGCAAAAATAGCCACTTACGAGAACTCAGCTCTCCATTGTGAATATATGAGTAATTTATGCAGCTGTCCAAAATTCAACTTGCAAGTTGCAGTATGCACTAACAATCATACTTGCATTCATAAAAGTAATGAAGTAAAATAATCTTCAATGCACAGTAATTTACTGTGACCCTTTCTGAGGCTTAGTAAGAAAAACCACAAACACACAAATCTTGCCCTCGACCTTTCATGAAACCCTATCCTTTGATTTTTGATGCCTTATTACTTAATCTGGAAGTCAAGTATGGCTACATTATTCTTGAGTGACCTTTGACCTTAGATGAGGTTGGCAGCCCTACTCGCATTATTTAGCACCTGTGTGGGACTGGGATTGAATTTCATCTCGAATAGTGTTGTCAAGGATATCAATAAGAAAAATAGTTTTGAAAGGTTACATAAAACACAGTACAGTGGTGTGTAAAGATGGCTCTGAGAGACTTCCCACTACTTTACAGAGTTTTGTTGATCTCCAGTTTTAACCTGATTTTGCACACATCCCAGGGAGTCATGATTCCAGCTCACCATTGGCATTTTCACCAATAGTGCCAATTTTCCATTTGCAGGAGGGAACACTGCATTAAGAAAGTAAATGGTTGCAAAAAATATGCATTTGGCTGAAACTTTGGCTCATGCTTAAACTTTGCCAGGCAGAACCCAAGGCATTGAAGTTAGAAATCGGTCTTTATCATTACAAAATTTCCATAGGATGCCACTGCCGTGACATTAGCCACTTTGATGCAAAATGATCAGACAAAGTTGGAATGGCAATGCTGTTCTCACTTGTATCGCAGTGGTGAGATCTATATACATGCACATGGAACTTGCATCTAGGATCTTACATGTCTGGGACTCGTCTGTGTTTGAGCATACCGGTACATGCATACAGTGTAGGCTCATACTCAAACAATACCATATCTATCATGGGTTATCATGGGTTGTTGATGTGTTGGAGTGAAACATGGAAATGTGACCCACCATCCCAGAACCAGGCTGAAGTCGGTATTTGTGATGCTGGACAATTCCTCTCCTTGAGCTTTTTTACTCTTTAAAGTGATCCATGTCAAATCAAAATTTTGTCTGCAGAAAGCTTCTTATAGGTAGTGATAGCTGTAAAACTCCCATGAAAATCTGAGCAATGGAAGTTCCACTGTTTTAGGGTTATGAAGTTACCTACTTCAGCCTGGTTTTAGGATGATGGGTCACAAATGTGGAGACTTCTCAAAAAGGACTGCTTCATGTGCAATTGAAAAAAAAAAGTTGCTTGTTTTCCAGAAATGTGGGCATTTGGTCTACATACGTGTACATCAAACCTTGTCTGTTAGAAGGAAGGAATGCACAATTAAAGCATCCAAATGAACTTTCGGAAACCGGCCTCAATTTGTGGCCTGGGTATTTCATAAAAGTAAGGTCATTTCAGGAAGACAGCACATACGCGGGAGTCTGTGCAGGGCCCTGCTGATAGGGTAGACCTTGGACACAGGTCTGAATTACATGAGCTTCATTTTTGGGCATGTGCTTTTGAAATACCCAACTGACTCAATTTGTGACCTTTCATCCCCAGTTTTTTTTTGTGAAGTCAGAGGTTATCTAGACAATGTATCTTATTGTAACTCCGTTTTATTCTGTTTGTTTTTCCATTTCCAGTGGAAAATCTAAATGAAAACATTTTAAAGCTGCCCTTTCCAGATCCCATAAGATTATATAAACAAGATAACACTGGCTTAGGACAAGTGTATAAAATTCCAAAAAAACTGAAATGATGTTTCTCTGCTGTAAACCTCAAATACTAATGTGAATGTACATGTATATGTACCATGTTGTGCTGTCAACTGGTACATTAGTATTAAGTTACATGATTAGATGAAATGAAATTAGTTATTCCATTGTCATAATCCCAGCAGAGCACAAGTCAGGCCATACACTGTAGTAAATGTGGTCCGCACTGTCTGCGGCATTTCACAATAGACCTACCACATAATGACGTAATGCAGTGTTTACCGCAGTGCGTTGTGGCTGAAAGGTGGGGGATGTTGCAGGAACGCGTTGACGTGACATGTTATGTGTAACGTATACTGTATGGGGTGTGTATCGACCTGACACACACAAAAAAAAAATTCCTGATTATCGTCCGAAATGGTCCATGTGAACTGCCGTGTTCCTTTGTGTTTATCAAGCACTCTACAAACGCCAGAGCTGCGTTTTTTAAACTTCCACGGAATTGCAAAAGGCGACAGATTTGGATAAGTTCCATGAGAAGTAAGGCCATCAAAGCGAAGTCCAAGTGGACCTCTGTACGTATGCAGTCTACATTTTGTAGGCAGAGACAAAACCTACGATGTATCGGATCCAATTATTTTCCAGGGGACAAGTGAGTGGGAGGAGGTTGTTTCCCGCCTTTTGCGGTCCCGTGGAAGTTTTAAAAAAATGCAGCTCTGGCGTTCGTTGAGTGCTTGATAAACATAATGGAACACAGCAGTTCACATGGACCATTGCGGACGATAATTGGGAATTTTTTTTATTTTTCTTTTTTTTGGTGTCAGGTCGATACACAAGCCATATAGTATACGTTACACATAACGTGTCACGTCGATGCGTTCCTGCAACATCCCCACCTTGCACCCACAATGCACCGCGGTAAACACTGCATTACCTCATTATGTTGTAGGTCTATTTTGTTGTTTTAAAATTATTAAATGAGTAGGTTCAACTCTGCAAACATGTACATTTTGTAAGTTACATCGCAAACATGCTTATCTTCACATCTCATCTATTGTACTTTCAGCTCCAGCTGTTGGAAACGAGAAAATTCAGTGATGAATTACAGCTCTAGGGCAACCCTTGGACACCACTGCCCCATGATGTACCTGCTTGGTGTACTGGGAAAAGTCCCTACTGAGAATTTGAGGGCACCCTTATAAGGACTGATGTCTTCTGACACTGCTCCCCATGTGCACTTTTCAAACACTTTACCACGTAAAGGACAGAACAGAAAGGGAACCAAGGATGTTTCCCTATCCTTTATAGTTAGTATATCATTCTTGGTGATACATACATGTACCTGTAGGGGCTTAGTCTGTGTGAGAGTGTTTATATATTGGAAGAATAGGAAGTGCCATTGAGGTACATAGTACATGTACCAGTAGGAATGGAAGCACAGCCCCTTCTTAAATATGGTGTAGTACACTCACTCAAGGGCATGGGTGCACATGCTGTGTCAACCAGTGTCACATTTGTATAGGTTTCCCCTCTCATCCCTGTGCAAAATCCATATGCAGCTCAGGCATGCAGGTACATACATGTATACATGTACATTAAGTTGTAAGATTTTGAAACATCCTTGGCCCCATAGAGACGAGTGAACTAAAATCAGCCGCCCAATTTTCATAGCGTACAGCTCACTAGCCATGATCAAGGCATATACGATAATCACTTGCAGGCTGCTAATACAGTGGCTAGCCAGCAATCATGGTACCATATCATCCAATGATAGCCTACAGTAGTTTGTAGCAAAAGGTGTGGTGGGGCTTACACGTATGTAAATTCATTTCAGTGCAGGGGGAGTGGTTTGGGGAATAACGAATAAATTGTGAATGGAAATTTAGAAGAAAAAAACTATGATGGGTTGAAGTACATTTGATCTTAGAGCCTATTCAGAATATTGTAGCTTCTCTCCATCAAAAAGTGGGAAAAGTCGAATGTATATATGTAGATTTGTACAATGACTGGGCAGAATTTTCCAGAAGATGTCCCTAACAGTCCTGAATCCTCCAATATGATTTTACTTACACCCTATGGGGTTCCGGTTAAACAGAAGGTTGGGATCCGTTTTTTGGAATTTCTTGAAATACATTTGCACTAAATTGTCTCATTGTCTGTTTAACTGCATGTACAGCAGTCTCGAATGCTTAGACTTGAGTGTAATTCTGCATGTACTCTGGGAATTTGAAGTTGAAAGGCCAAGGGCGTATTTTGCCGAAAGATACAGATGCACAAGTTTGCATTTCCAGGGGTAGGATGCAATTGGCAGGATTGAACCTACAGTGCTTAGTACAGCAGGGTTCACTAGAAATGTGCACTTTACAAGGCCAATTTAACAGAAAAATTAAGATTGAGTCTGCTCGCAGCAATATTCAGTGGTAACGTAAAATACTTAAATCATCGGAGGGACGTAGGCCGATTTTGTGAATGTTTATTTGTATGCCCTTAGCAAGCATGTACATTTAAGCAAATAATAATAGAACAAATGCAAAACACTTTACAAAAACTGGGTGCTAAATACACTAACCAGACAAGTTTGAAGGCCTGACATTTCAGTCAGGCTGTTTTGGCCCGTCACCTTTGATTAAAATCCTGAAATTACCTGGCTGTGGAAGTTTCTTGGGAGAGAGGGCTGCATAGACGGAATACACTGGAAACACTGCTCATGATACTGTTTCATGGACTGTACATGTATCTGTACATCTTACTTGTGAGCTCACATTTCTCAATTCACCTTATATGTAACGTACATCTACATCAAGATGGTGCGTATGAAGGTTTGTGCAGTTCTCCACCTTGGCGTTTCTAATTGCCAAAAGGTGGGGGGGGGTAGCAGGGGATGGAGGGTGTATTCTCCCTGCCCCCGAGTTTACACCCATGGGCAGTGTTCTGCCTCAGTTCTGGCAGCATCCCCCCGCATTCTGATCAGTGTGAAAGCATGCCGGGGATTAGGCCAAGTCTGTCTTTACTTTACATATTGTTTCCATTGACATTTTTGGGATATGAGACTGCATCACTCTGCAAATCAACAAAAGGAATGAGTCACCGGAGGTTCTCGCATTATTTTCTCCAGATTCTTCCTAAATGTGAAAAGAATTGCGTAGAGTGTTGCCTTGACAACTACTCTTTCCAATTTATGGGAGTAAATCATTTTTGTTTGATTTATAAAGAAAACCATCGCTGTGCATAAATTCTTAACATTTCAAAGACAGAATGGACAAACAGAAAGTGTTAGTTTTATACATGTATGTAGGAGGAGTGCAAAAATTTCTGACGCTTGTGTACTCTTATTACAGCTGGCATCCTTCTCACTGATCTGACAGTTTTAACTTTAAAGATTTCTTTACGTCTTTTTCAAAGCCAGTACATTCCCACTTTTGGCACAGACACGTACATGTATTCTAAAAACCATGGGACACATTTAGACTTTTTTGTTGAATTTTTTTCTCATCTGTGAACCATTACATCTGTATTACATACAGATCTAGTTTCAAAGTTGAGGCTAAAGGTTAACTTTTTTTGGCAGGATGTTCTGAGTCACCAATGGTTACCACCACTCTGGTCCAAGCAGAGGTTGTACCGGTACGAGTTGGCTGTGAGACGAGGTGAGTGATGCTACCATGGTGACAGCAACCCTTTCCTGTCAAATAACACATGCAGACGGAGAACTAGTTTTGGAGGAAGACCATCTTGGTGGATTTGATGTAAAGGCATGAAATGTTGCTGTTACAAATACACACCATCCTGTCCTCTGCCGCGCCCCGCCCTGTGCTAAAATGCTGACGTCGTAGCTTCTTCAATTTTCCTATGTCTATAGAGAGCAATGGGATAACGTTGAAATTGTGAAATGGTTTGTTTGAATAAAATGTACTTGTAAACATACTGGAAAAAGTAGTGGCTTTGTTATACTTTACATAAACATTTATTTGCATATTTATTTTTCAGATCTTTATGCATCTCATATAAATCTCTTTTTTTCTGGTGGGACATTTATGCACTTTGATTGTGTGCATCATTTATTTGTGTGGGCGTGCTTTTACTGAATTACAGACATTGAATGGAATCGGCAGAGGGGGGAGAATTTTGAGAGGACTAAGGCCAAAATTTCCTCACAAAATACTAACACTAATAGCAGTCAGTACATAACCCAGAACTATTTCAACCACGTCAACAAAGCATGGTCAAGAATTGAGAGGCTGTGTGTAAGTGATGCCTTAGCTTTCGCTTGGTCTTTGCAACCCCTTGGAAACGAGAAAATGAAAAAGGAACTGAGCTCTTCGTAGCATTCACCTCAATTCATAGCCTGTGCCAAACCCAGGATTTTGTTAATATTCAAGCCTCTGTTCCACCTAAATAGAGCAACATGGAAGTGGGAAGGAGCAAGCCCAGTGGCCAAGATGCCGCCCAAGATGGAGCGACCAGTAAGAGCAGCTCAGAGAAGGCTGAGGAAGAGCGGAACCCAGCCATGAATATTGCATCATCATGCCAGGAGCAAGTAAGGGAAGGAGCCTCTGATTCTGCTGCCAAGGTTTGTATAGAAAGAACGTAAGCTAAGGGGTCATCCATTTTTCGTTATCTTTTTCATGGATGTGCGAAGCATACTCCTTTTCCTGACCCCCTCTTCCCCTCCTTGAGTGTACAAAGAAAAAAATCGGGTCATGAAAAAGGTGACAGTGGATGACCCGTAAGAAGGCTTTAGTAAACAGAGTAATCCAGTACATCGCTCTCCCAGAATCCCAAACTCTGCAGTATCAGAGGAATCCCTCCATGACGATTTCAATGCCAATTGGTGCAATTCTGCATTTGAAAACAAGGCTGCACATGTCAGCAGGACCACACGTAAATGCACAGCATGCAATAGCGCAAGATGTTCGTGCCTAGTGCTAGCACCAGTGCTTTGCACAATTGAATCATTTGAGTCCAGACACAAAGTTTTCAAAGGTACATGTTAAATCAAGAATTTCAGCCTGTAACATTTTAACTGAAAAAGTATCTTAGAGTGAATTACATGTAATATGTGCCTGGACTATGCCCCATGTTTGTGAATCAGACATGCAGATTTGGAGTCGATGATTAATCAAGCCTTAATTCTCATTTCCTTCAGTCTTTGATATGGGTCATTCCATGAAGTTGGGGAACACCTGGTTATTTGCCTGCGGTCTGAAGACTTTGGAACAAATCACATGGCTTATCAAATAATTAGCCAGTTAAATTTACATCATAAAAAGAACACAGAGAGGGATAGGGCACAGGTCAGAATTTTATCCGAAACCCAAACATGCTTAGCGTGTCAGCATGTATTAAGTCAAACAGACATGAGACATGAAAGGAGTTAACCGCAAACACGAAACACGCTGACCCTTGCATATCAGAGAACGCCAACACTGCAATCCGATCTGCTGAGTATAAAAATGCACACGCTACACACATGGGGTTTGACCTTGCCGGTCTGCTATCCAAATTGTAGTCAAGACGGCCTCCACAGCAGCGATTCTTCCATTCACACTCAAGCTCAGTGTGGTCAAACTCGTGTGAATATAAATTCGATGTGAGGTAGGGATTTTTCCCATCAGTTTTCGACCTTTGAGCTGGAAAACCTACCTAAAAAAATCGCTCTGATTGTGACAATATTAGGAGCAAACTGAACGGCAAATATCGTACTGAAATGAAAGGAAGCTGGGCGCTAACGCTAGCGACGTTTATGCACCGGTTACTGTTTATTTGTGAAAAAGTTCTCGTGCAATCGGGAATTGCTTAAAACTGACCAAGCATTATTCATTAGAACCAACAAGAAAAGCATTGTCGTCGTCACTCCAGTTGATCCCGTGAGTTTAAAATTCAAAGCTTACATTTGGGAAAAAGTTTGTAGCAGGTAAACACATACAATGTACGGTGGACTACTAGCCAGTTTATCATTGAAATTTGACATCCAAAACA